CTTGCCTTGCCTTGCCTTGCCTTACTAAAACAAGATAACAGCGTTAGTAACAGCGTTACTTTCAACGCCGTTACTCCCATCACTGTCATCAATACCTGTATATCACATGTACATCATCAATTTAGCACATTTGGCTCATCTGTATTATTATGCTCTATTAACATATTAAATTTGTTGTGATTTATTTGTATAATATTCCTAATGATGCAGTGTGATGGGCAGATTTTTTTATTATAAGTTAAAGTAATCTACTGATGCTATGAATTTATCTTTATTTTAAAAGTCTTAAGCCCCCCCTGAAAATGAGAACATCATCGTTGTTTGATGCTGTAGCGCACATATTGTTTACACTGCGACCAATGTAACTAGGGAGTACCAATATGGCGGCTGGTGGCTTCACTTCAACCCCGTACTACCAACGGGGAATCAGCCATCTAGTGAATAATTAGTGATCAGTGGTTGTGGTGTAAAGGTTTTATAACTTCTGATGGAACGCGCGGCGGCGTACGTCATGACGGACGCAGTCAGAGCCGCTCTCACCTTGTTGATGTCTCTGAACTCTGCAAAGTGTTTCTTCTCAGTCTGAACCCAGTCAGGCTCCGCCTCTCCGTCCTCTGGTGTGTACATGTCACCTGGCGAGGGAGAAAGTCATGAACGCTGACTGGTTCCAGCGCAGACATCAGACTGGTCAGACTGGGGCCCACTTACCAATGTATTCGGCCAGGTTGATCTTCCTGTCGCCGTTCTTATCGATGTCCTCCACAGTCTCCTGTTGGGGAAATGCCAGCTGTCAGTTCCCTGATTATTAATACATCTTAGCAGAAACTCCTCACATCCTGCTGCCTGCCATGTTTCTGCTTCCATCGCTTCAGATCTAAGCCCAGACAAAGCTGGTTTCAGCGCTACGTATTCTGCCAAAGTCCTCCACATCATTGTTACCGTGCCCACCAGCCTGTGATGGTCTGCAGATGTTCTGCTTCTAGTCTTAGTTTGATTTGTAAACAATCAGCAGATGAATTTAAGCTCCTAGATCTGCGTCCAGCATGGCTCTACCTGCACCACCACGTCTTTCATGTAGCTGAACTCCTCGGGGTGAAGGAAGGCGGTGAACTCCTCGCGCGTGGCGATGCCGTCGCCGTCCTTGTCGGCCGCCTTGAAGCGCCTCTCGTCGCGGGCCAGCATGGATTTATACGTTTCCTTGTCTTCAATGTCATTGAAGTCGTCGCCTGGAGAGAAAAGGGATTCTGAGCAACCTGTGCGGCTCCACCCGTCCTTCCGGTTTGCCATCACCAAGTAGTGACGGCAAATAAACGTTTCAAATGGTGCAAAAACCAAGAGCTTTACCCAGATAGTAGCCATAGGTGGTGTTCTTATACTCCTCCCAGGCGATCTTATCATCCCCGTTAGCGTCGTAGTCCTTCCAGTGCTTGTTGACGTTCTCCTCGATGTATCTATTCTGCCGGTGTTTGATCCACTTGCGCAGCTCAGAGTGGTCAACGAAGCCGTCCTTGTTGGTGTCGATGCGGTCAACGATCTTTCTGCAGAGCAAAAAGCACAAAGTTCACATTAACAGGCTGAACAGAGACTATTTCACTAAGATTTCTCCAACATAATGACAGGAAATTCAATCTTTTAACTTTCTTTAAACCCTTCTGACTCTCAACTGACCTGAAATAATATAGCCAACAGATGAAGCTGCAATCAAAAACACTTCATCTATAGACGGAAGTTCCAGCAATGATTCAACCAGTCCAGGAAAAGCAGCTGTTTGCATCGATTTGTTGATTTTATTGGATGAGCTGCCAGATAAGCAGACGTTCGCTTGCATTCTGTTGACTCTACAGCAATCCCTCACACTGATAATGCATGCAGCGACAGTGGAGAGGAAAACTACCTTTGAACAGGAAGTAACCTTTATCAGAACCAGCAGCCGGCTCAGAGCGAGCGGCTATCTGCTGAGGCCGACTGGAGTAAGAGAGACAGAAGCAGACATAGAAAAAGAACCTAGAAGCACTGATCTATAAACTCTTTCTATGTTAGAAAACGGTAAACTAGCTCTAGGTGGGGCAGTCTGGAAAAGAAAAAGTTTAATCTGTGCGAGTTTTCAGAAAGACCGGACATTTCGCCTAAAATGTTTTAAATGGTTTTCAATATGGATATAATAACAAATAAAGGGTTTATAACTTATTTCTTCCCCAGGGAATATTTGCATATAATTAATAAATTAACACTAAAAGCAAAGTTAAATTATTCCTTTCATTAGGTTTAAAAAGGAAGCAGTCTGATAAGTCTGAGACCGGTCCGATGTTCCAGTAAAACCTTTAGCCGCAGTCAGAACCCTTCAAAGAAAAAGCATCCTAGAAAATGAAGGTAGATCTAAAATAACTAGAGAAAAAAATAGATTTTTGCTTTTATTGAAGACCCTATCTAACATCCCTTAAGATTTTTTCTTAAACAATAATAAAATAAACAGGTTTCAGGTTTCTTAACAGATATAATCGTTTTTAAGCAAATCATTTTAATTTATCAAATGGGAGCCAAAAAAAGGCATCGACCTGCTGCTCAGAGAAACTTTGATTCCTTTAAGCAGCAAAACGATTCATCTCTGAAATTAACTCTTCTTGTTTCCCTTTTCTTTTTCTTCCAACAGATGATCATCCACTGCAGGAAATTTAAATCTTTCATATCTGTTTCATAGTTAAAAATAATTAAAGATAAAAGTCTGTTTTTAATGTTTGATTCCTCAACAATAATAAAATTAACATGATATCATTATAAGATATTATAATAAGATATCAATCATAGAATGAAGTATTTGGTCTAATGTGCAAACTTTATATACAATCCTTTCCAACATTAAAATAAATTGTCATTTTTCGTGAGGTTAATTGTTTTCTGTTGATAAATTCGTCAAGAGGACAAAACTAGCAGATAGAAAATATATCTGCTCAGTGGTGCGTTCACCTAGAAATATGACAGAAGGTAAAATACCAACAGCGTTTAAAAGTATCGGCCATCTTTAAGAGTTTAAAAGTAAAGGTTTGCCTCCATTTTCTCTCCTTCTTTATGTTCAGAGTAAATCCATTTGTGGATTTATGTCTTAATGTTTCCTGCTGAAAAATATACAGTCCAGTCAAAGTGTTTTATTTTATTTACTAATGATTGATTGTTGATTAGATTAAAATGTATTTGATCAGATTAATTGATAAAGTCTTTTTTCTTTTAGTGTTGTAATATGATGTTTCGTCCACTAGAGGGTGCAGCTGTTCATTAAGCAGAGCCTCACTGGTATTTCTATAGAAGTAAAGCCAGATTGAAGGCAGAGCAGAACCATGAATGATCCAGAGTTCAGTTCTGTTTCATTTGGTTCTGTCTGTAAACATAAACACAGATAAACTAAATAAAATAATTAATAATCCCCTAAATGGGCCCATTTATCTGTGCTGCACGGTGGAGCAGCGGAACATCTCCTTTGTGCTCAGAAGTAGAGGATGTGATGTCAGACAAGCAGAGGACATCTGTAGCGTTATGAAAAAGACGTGCTAATGTTGCACCCTGAAAAAGATCTAAACAGATTTTCACTTTTGTGCAACTTTATTAAACAAAATGTAGTTTTCTCTCTTTCTGTAAATATATACAGGTTATGAACGTTTAACTCCCATCATGCATTCTGTTCTTCTTAAGGGATTATTATCATGACAGAAATCTATGGATCAACAAAAAAATAAAATAGTTTGAGCACATATTTAGTCATAAACCAAATGAATTGTTCTAACTAAATACTAAATCAATAAGATAATTATACCTAATAATTAAATGTATCACATTCTTAACGTATTTCCAGAGCTCTACACTAAATATTAGCACAGTAGACACAGTGAATGCTGCAGAGTTAGTGCATTTTATACTGGAATTATTAGCTGTTTAGAGAGAAACATTTCTGTTTATTCAGTCAGTATTTAATAAAGCTGGAATAATAAATTATTTAAATATAATTATGTGCTTTTTTTAAACTGCTGCATTATAAAAACAAATATTGTTCATGTTGTGGAAAGATCCTCTTGATACAAAAGAGAAAACTCCACTTTAATTAAATTGATAACTTGCATCTAAAGTCCTATAAGAGGATGTGAGGTCGTTTTTACAGTTTTAACCATCAGTTATTTTCTTCTTCATTGCGTCTAAAATGAAACCAAAGAGAGACTTTAATGGACGGACTGTAACTCCGTCCTATTAAAGGTGGTTTGTCCTTCTAACCTACCCCAGCCTCTCTTTGCTCTCCTCAGGGGTCAGCTGGTCAAAGGTCTTGGCATCCTCTTTGCCCAGAAAGGCCTCGTGGTCGTACTGGTAATTCTGACTGTCGTCGTGGACGTGGTCACTCAGATCGGCCTGGTGGTGGACGCGCTTCTCCTGAGCGGGGACGGCAAAGGCAGCCGCAGCCAGGAAGTAGACGGACGCCAGCGAAGTCAGCAGCAACATGGCCGGTTTTCTGGGACTGAGGCAGGAAATCAGAGCGGCGTTAAAAGGACAGGAGAGAGACAGCTGGGAAAACATCACCACATCATCAGCATTAAGGACACTTAAACTGCTGGACATTATGAAAGATGCCAGCCACCGTCTGCGCCGCTCAGAGGAGTCTGATCAGTGGGAGATTGCTGCTCCCCAAATGCAGGAACAACACACTGCTGAGCTCCTTTGCTCCTAAAGCCATCAAGCTGAACAACTCCTCACTTGGGGGAAGGAGGAGGTGATAGGAAGAGGGAGAAGGGTCATGGGTCAAGGGTCAATGCAGAAAGACACCAGGCCGGGAATCGAACCCAGAACCTTTTTGCTGCAAGGAGATCAGCCTGTTTTTCAGTGTAGTCCTGTTTCTCTGACTAACTGGATGTGCTCTCTTCATCCTCTGACGTGGGAGCTGGAGGTTTCTTCCTGTTCAAAGGGAGTTTTTCCTCTCCACTGTCGCTA